GCAGCAGCAGCAAATCCCGATGCGGAGCCGTGGCAGCAGCAGGCCACTGAACTGCTGCTGCAGCAGACACCGCAGCTTCTGCTGCTGCAGAAGCTACAACCTCCAACACAGACATTCTGTGCATCCTTATACTCGCGGTGGGCCTGCTGCTGCTGCTGCTGCTGCTGTTGCTGCTGCTGGCAGCAGCCTGAGCTGCTGCCGCTGCCCTAGCCTCCGCAGCAGCAGCTGCTTGTCCAGCTGCTGCTGCTGTTGCTTCTGCTGCTGCTGCTGCATCCGCCGCATTTTGGGGTACAATGTAGCAAAACGCAGCAGCAAGGCGCTCAATCTCATCCAGCAGCAGCAGCCGCAGCAGCGCAGCAGCAGGAGCTTCCTCCTTAACAGCACATACTGTTGTGTTGCTGCAGCAGAAGCTGGCGTTGCTGCGGGAGACAGCAAACGATGGGGGCAGCTGCTGCTGTTGAGCCAGGCGTTTGCTGCTGCTGCAGCAGATGCTGCTGCACTTACGAATCCCCTTAGAAGCTCTGCAGCAGAAGGCGCTGCAGCGAGCAGCAGCACTGAAGCAGCAGCAATATAAGCTGCTGCTGCTGCTGCTGCTGCATGCTGCAGGCTCTAATATATCTGCAACAAAAGCCATAGAGTCGGCGAGCATCGCCAGTCGTTGTTTAGGGAAGCAGAAGCACGCGTTGCTGCTGCTGTTTCTGATGCTAGTTCTGTTGCTGCTGCTGCTGCTGCTGCTGTTTCTGCTGCTGCTGACAGAAGGAAAGGATGCAGCAGCAGCAGCAGCTGCTGCTGCTGCAGCTTCTGCTGCTGCTCTGATGTCTGCACATTCGCACGGCCGCAGCCAACTCTCCCTAGACGCTCGCTCAATGAAGCAGCAAACTGAGGTGTATGTACACCTCAGCACCAGCAGCTGCTGCAGATGAACAGCAGAGACAGCACCCCTGCCCCGCAGCAGCGCCTGCTGCTCTGCAGCAAACGTCCCGCTGCGCTGCAGCAGCAGCTGCTGCAGGTTGCTTCTGTCTTGCAGCAGCAAGCAGCAGCGCCTGCCCTGGCGTTCGTGCGGCTCCCTGTGTTCCTGCTGCTGCTGCTGACCGCAGCAGCAGCAGCAGCAGCTAGATGCCGCAGTGAGGCAGCAGCGAAGAGCAGTAAACAGCAGCAAAGCACTCTCAAGCCGTCCTGCTGCAGCAGCACCCCCCACCATGCTGCTGCGCTGCAGCTGCTCGACCCCGAGCTGCGGATACACCTCAGCACCGCTGCGAGCAGCAAACTTAGACAGCAGCAAGTGAGAGAAAGACACAGACAATGTTGTTTCTGCTGCTGCAGCTGAATCGCTGCAGCAGCAGCTGCTGCTGCTGCCGACGCACCAAAACTCTGTAGGGGAATCTAAAACATCATACAAATCCGCATCCTCAGCTGCTGCACCTGAGTCTTCTGCTGCTGCTGCTGCTGCTGTTGCTGCTGCTGCTGCAGGAGACCGGCCCCACATCTGGGTGGCCAGTGTTTCCAAGCTGCTGCGGAGGGATACATAGGAGCGTCTGGTGCTGCTGTGCTGCTGCTGCAGCAGTTGCTGCTGCTGCAGCAGCAGCAGCAACTGAGCAGCAAGGGATTCTCTTTTCCCTCCAGCGGCAAAGTGACCCTGCTGCAGCAGCTTGTGCTGCTGCTGCAGCAGCAGCTGCTGCCTGTGTAGCAGCAGCCCAGGCAGATCCAGCTGCTGCGCCATGCGCTGCAGCAGCTCCTCTCGCCGCTGCTGCATGCAGAGAAGCGGGCCGTATGCTGCAGCAGCAGCAGGCCGCGTCTGGCTCTGTGTACGCAGCAGCAGATCAGGAGAGGGGCCTGTGGGGCTATCCAGTGCTGCATTAGAAAATGTATATATCATTGCTGCTGCGGGTACTTGCTGCTGCAGCAGCAGCAGCAAACACTCTCCCTCGGCGCACAAGTGCTGCTGCTGCTGCAGCACTTGCTGCGCCCCAGACAACCAACAAGCTCTCAGCCACCGCCAGCCATTCGCTGCTGTTGCTGCTGCTGCTGTTGCTGCTGCTGCGTCTCCTGCTGCGCAGCAGGAAGACACCTGCAAAAGCTGCTTCGGTGCTGCAGCACGGACTGCAGCAAGAGCAGCAGCAACAACCTCCGCCCACAGCCACGCTACAGACCAGGGCAAGCCAAGCGTGACGACCTGCTGCAGCTGCTGCTGCTGCTGCTGCAGCAGCAAAAACGTTCCGTCCCTCATGGCAGCAGCAGCAGCCGCTGCAGCTGCCAAGCAACGCCGCTGCAGCTCTCCATAGTCGCTTTCAATCCCTCTAGAGCTGCTGCTGCTGTTGCTGCTGCTGTTGCTGCTGCTGTTGCTGCTGCTGTTGCTGCTGCTGTTGCTGCTG